TTCAGAAGTCACTTAACATTTCTGAACCTCAGTTTTATTATTGTTTATATGGTAATAGGGTCCACCTTTCAATCATGAGCAGCTGCAGTGGGAGGTAAGGATACTGTAGGGGCGGGCACATGGGGTGTCCATTTATTCATCCATTTAGTGAGCATTTAATAAGTGCTTGCAGGGCTATGGATATTGTACCAGGCATTGGGTACCCAAAGTCTAATAAGTCATGGTCAAATCATCATTTAATGTTTTTTTTTTTCTTTTAAGTTTAGGTTTTTGTTGTGGAAAGTATACTTTGAGGTCCCTTTATGATTTGGCCAACTTTTGAATCAACACTATTCCTTCTTTATATTTATATTTCTTAGAGTCCCTTCTGCCTCTGGAACTTGGGAAATTTTAGGAATAGTGTGATTAGCAGCTACCACTATTTAAAATGTTAACATACGTCTGTTTCCAAAATTCTCACTGACTCTCTGTACTGAGGTTTAGAAAGTCTGGGGCCAGTGTTATCATGCTTTCCACGAGGGAAGTGTGCACAGTGAAAACAGCTGAGTACATTCCTGTTTTCTGGTATTAAGTTCTTTCTCCTGCATAATAGCACCATCTTTCTTATTTGTGATTGGTTGGTTTGGTTTTGATTTCAAAGCCAAAAAGAAAAAAAAATTAAGCTGCTTCCTATGTAAAATCTTTTATGAGTATCATATGTCTTTATAAAATATTTGGCTTGATTTTTTTATATAATCAAAATGACATCAATGTAAAAATGAATAATGGAATTTTTTTTTTCAAAATGTCTCTTTGTAACTCTTACTTCTAGCCCCGTTGCAAAGTAACAGCAATGAACTGCTTTCTCCTGGAGCTAGAAGTTATTTCACATGAGTCCAGAGATGGAGACATAGAGGAAACAGTAAAAAACCTGATCCTCCTAGCAAACAGTAGTTTATCTTCTAATGGGGTGAGTTATCCAATAGTTTTACAGTGCTACATCTGATGTTTTTGGCTTGATTGCAAGAAGCTATTAGTAGACAAGCAGGTCTTTCTCAGCAGTGCTCAGGAGAAAGAATTCATTTCTAGTGGAGTGGCATCCAAAAGTGGCACCATAGTTGGCGTATACACATGGTCCTCAACTGTTCATTGACTGATTTGATAAATAGACATTTGCTAAATAATGCCAGGCAGTGTGCTTCAGTGCTGCAGTCACAGTGGTGAACCAAACAGGTGCTTTAAATAAACATTAATCTAATTACATAATCACATGTTCAACATCAGTAACAGTAACTCACATTGGGGTTTTTCTGTGTGCCTGACACTGTTCTTAAAGCTTTAAACTGATATTCATTTAATCCTCAAAATAAATCTGTGAGATTATTATCCTTATATCTTTTTTAAAATCCAGTGAACCTCATTTCTAGTTGAAAGGTGAAGAAACTGGAGTATTGGGAGCTTAAATCATTTGCTCCAATTCATGTAGCTAGTAAAATAGGAAGCCATAATTCTAACCAAGCAGAGTCTATCTCCTTATGCTGGAAAAGGATAATCATAATTAATGATTAATGACTGGAGTGTAGTTTAGGACATGCCAGGCAACGTAAGCAATAGAGGGTTCTAAGAGAACTGATGCTATGGAGCCATGGTAGATGGGGAACCAGCTGTGCAGAGTCCTAAAGCACAAAGAATCATGGCTTTCATGGCAGAACACTCGTGGCAAAGGCGAAATGACAGAAACAGAGAGGGTGTCGTCAAATTAGGCCATTTAATAAATTCATTTTGGCCTTCAGGATACAGTCTGAAAAACACCCATGACCCCTGCTCTTAAGGAGGGAGGAAATAGAAGTCAACCAATCAGGAAGCAAATGAGTAAAAAGTCAGTTATTCATTAAGTCCAGTGGCAATAAAGAAGGCAGGTAAAGGGAACAGGTAAAGGCTGTAGGCTTAGATAAGTTTTCCCTAAGATGACCTGTGACAACGATGGGAAGGAATGAGCCTTCAGGTTGTCTGGGGAAGTATGTTCAGGCAGAGGCAATTGAAAGAATAGTGATTCAGAGGGAGCGTGGCTGGAGACCTTGACTTTTCCCTAAAAATGCCAGGCTACTTTAGGTCTTTGGCTTAAATGTCACCTATTTTC